CATCCTTATCTTAAACCCTTCCGCCGATGACGTCGTTCGCCGCCGCTCCGTCTCATTCCCTCCGTCTCACATCGTCGCCGACCACGCCCCGCCGTAATCCCTCTGCAAACTCTGCCGTTTCACCCTCAGCTTCGACTATCCAATGTAGTCTCCCATCCCTCCCCGCCGCTTCATCCTCCCAAAACCCTAAACCTTTGAGACGTCCCACATTACTTCCCAACCCTGTAATTTTCCCCAAATCAATCGCCGCCTCCGCCGCCTCGTGGGTTCTTTTCCACATAGCCAAACCTGCCTTCTCTGGCAGCAACCCTATCTTTAGCTCCGGAGGAGGCGGCAGCGTCGGGGGTGGTGGAAGCGGCGGGGGCGGAGGCGGAGGAGGAGGAGGAAGTGAAGGTGGGGAGGGAGGCGGCGGTTTCTGGCGGTTCTTCTCGCCCGCAGCTGTTGCTAAAGATGACGATCCTCAACAAGAGTGGGATTCCCATGGATTGCCGGCCAACATCGTGGTGCAGCTGAACAAACTCAGCGGTTTCAAGAAGTACAAGGTCTCTGAAATCCTATTTCTAGATAAACGGAGCCGCTCGACTGCAGGCCCAGAGGACTCTTTCTTTGAGATGGTGTCCCTCCGGCCTGGGGGTATTTACACCAAAGCTCAGTTCCTGAAGGAACTGGAAACCCTAGAAACATGTGGAATGTTTGAGAAAGTTGATCTGGAGGCAAAGATGAATCCGGATGGCACCATCAATATAACCATTCCGTTCCAAGAGTCCTCGTGGCAGTCGGCTGATAGATTAAGGTTGATTAACGTGGGACTCATGCCACAGTCCAAGCCTGTTGAGATGGACCCTAATATGACCGAGAGGGAGCAAATGGAGTACATGGATAACCAGGCGAGAGATTACTTTAACAGGATCAACATGGCAAGGCCGTGTTTGATGCCAATGTCTAAACAACAAGAGATATTGGAGATGATGATGGATCATGGCAGGGTGACCGCGAGATTGTTGCAAAAGATAAGGGATAGCATTCAGCAGTGGTATCATGAAAACGGATATGCCTGTGCACAAGTTGTGAATTTTGGGAATTTGAATACGAGAGAGGTGGTATGTGAAGTGGTGGAAGGTGATATCACAGAGCTATCGGTTCAATTCCAGGATAAGCTGGGTAATGTTTGCGAGGGGAATACTCAGCTCGCTGTGATAGAGAGAGAATTGCCCAAACAGGTTAGTTTGACTGGAGCTGTTGTATTAAGTTATGTGACATATATTGAGGTTCTATTGCAGGGATATGGTGGCCATGTGTTAAAATGATAGTTGGACTGTTTCAAGGAGTATTCAGAATGGTAGCATATCATATATTTACTGATTCCCCTCTTGTATTATGAAAATCGGGGGAGCTATGTGCTGACATTTAAAACACTTCAGGGTTTAAGTGTTCGCCATAATCATCTATATGTAGTCAGTGTACTATTGTGACCAATTGTTAACTGCCTTTGTTGTTGTAAGTGAATAATGCTTCTACATGGGTCTGTGTTCAACACGACTACACGATCATGCCTGCTTTATAAAATGCTTTTTTATTCTTTTTTTAAAAAAAAAATAAAAATAAAAAAATTGAAGCCATAAATTTGATGACCATGTCAGTTGGTCATTAACCATTATGTGTGCGATTGAATTTTTTAACTGTTATTTAAGGGTTGGACTCATTTTTGTTTTCCTCGCTTACAGCTTCAAGAAGGACGAGTTTTCAATATTGAAGCTGGGAAGCAAGCACTAAGGAATATAAATTCTTTATCTCTCTTCTCTAACATTGAGGTAAACCCGCGCCCGGATGAAAATAATGAGGGAGGCATTATTGTTGAAGTGAAGCTTAAAGAATTGGAACAGAAGTCTGCTGAAGTTAGCACAGAGTGGAGTATCGTTCCAGGTCGCGGGGGCCGTCCTACACTGGTTAATAGCATAAACAGAAATTTGGTGTTTTTTATTTAAGTTCTTTTAAATATATCCGCTAAATGTTTTTTTTTTCTACTTATCAAATGCTACCCAGGCTTCAATCCAGCCTGGTGGGACTGTTTCTTTTGAGCATCGTAATATTTGCGGTTTGAATAGGTCACTTCTTGGTTCAGTGACTACTAGCAACTTCCTTAACCCTCAGGTGATTACATTTGTTCAAGCTTCTTTTCCAGAATGAAGTGCAAATTTTTGTATAGCATTAACATATGTCTGCATAACATATATAGGATGACCTTTCTTTCAAGCTGGAATATGTCCATCCATACATTGATGGAGTGGAAAATCCTCGCAACCGTACTTTCCGTACTAGCTGCTTCAATAGTAGAAAGCTTAGCCCAGTCTTCACTGGTGGACCTGGAACAGAAGAAGTTCCCCCTATATGGGTTGACCGAGCTGGAGTTAAAGCAAACATAATGGAGGTATGATTTTCCTTCTTGAACTTGTTATATTTTCCCGATAGATTTTAACAGGCTATGATTAGGTGGATTTGTGAATTGTTTTTTATACTGACTTGAGTAAGCAGAACTGTAGAAGATTGAACTCAAATATCTCTTACAAATTCTATTATCTTGTGTGTACGTGATGGAGGAACATTAAGTGATGTTCTTGCAGAACTTCACTTGTCAAATATCTCTTACAAACTCTATTATCTTGTGTGTATGTGATGGAGGGACATTAAGTGATGTTCTTGCAGAATTTCACTCGTCAAAGCAAATTTACCTACGGACTAGTGATGGAGGAGATAGTAACACGTGATGAGAGCAGCCACATCTGTGCAAATGGTCAAAGGTTATTGCCAAGTGGTGGAGTGAGTGCAGATGGACCTCCTACAACACTCAGTGGCACTGGAGTTGACCGTATGGCGTTTCTTCAGGCCAATATCACTCGTGACAACACTAAATTTGTAAATGGGGCTATAGTTGGTGAGAGAAATGTGTTCCAGGTGAGCAAACATCTGTTTATCTTACACTTCCACAACATTCATCTTCGAAACCACACCATTATGGAAGATTAATGATATTCCTTTTGCACTCCTTGATTCTCCTTTTCCGTAAAAACTTGGGGAGGTGCTATGTTTTTCTCTTTTGTTTTAGAATGCATTATGGTTATTTGGTCACAATGTGGGCATATATATGCATGTTGTTTATGAGCTGAATGGCTTATCTGAGATTGGTAAAGCGTTGCATACATTTTTTGAAGTTTCTGTGTCATCTGCTTGAAACCTAGCTAGCAGAATTTGAATGCTTTCATTGGTTGAATATGATGTAACTTTGTGTGAGCCTCTAACTCCATTTTTTCCTCAGTTCCCAGCTGTGCCTATATTCCCATTTTTTCCTCAGTTTCACAGGGGATGATAGTCCTGAATGAAAAATGAATCAGCAAAGAGTGGAGACAAGTAGGAAGTTTCCACCAAATAAGGCGGTGCTACATTACTCAATGACAATTCGTGAAATACTTCATAAGACTTGTTGATAGATATTAAGTTAGTTTAGTTTGACTTGCAAAATTAGAATGCAGATGGAACTGCTTCGGTAGGGAAAGGGCGAGTGGTGTAAGAGTGATTCCAGTAAAATGTCAGAACGGGAAGGGGGAATGCTGTTGAGTTTAATTATAAGAAATTTATTGGGAATGGTGGAGGAATGAATAATAAAAAATGATCAAATCTAGGCTAGTAAATAGGAAAAATGAAAAAGGAAAGAGATGAGGGGTTGAAGGCAAGTGGCTGCTAATTGATTACATAAAAAAATAGGTTATTTAACGAGAATTGTAAGGATGAGTGCTTTAGTCTTTTGGGTAACATGTTTGAAGTGAAAACAATATAGTTACTTCTGACATCCTCAATTTAACATGTGAATTTATACATTATTGACGTTTTTATCGAAATTGTATCGTCATACTTAAAATTTTGTTCAACTTCTTTGCCAACCCCAAACTAGAATTAGAGTGTTTGATACCTAGAATTGTTGTGTTCTTGATCTTCACGTTAATCTTTAGCAGTGCTAATTTGTACGCTCTGCAATCTTTTAGAAATTCTCTATCTTAGGCCCATCAATATTCGAGACCCTTAATAAAGTTTTTCAGTATGAAGAACCATTGGTTTTATGTATCTCATGAAACGGTGAACTGTTTTTGCTTCTATTTCATGGACTAATTCTCTTTTCTGTCAATTTCTTTTTTCTTTATGGTTTTATACAGCTCGATCAGGGGCTTGGAATTGGCAGCAAATTTCCGATTTTTAACCGCCATCAGTTAACATTAACACGATTTCTCCCACTGAAGCGAGTAGAGGAAGGTGCTGGAAAGCCGCCACCTCCCGTTTTGGTCCTCCATGGCCATTATGCTGGCTGTGTTGGTGATCTTCCTAGTTATGATGCATTTACTCTTGGGGGACCTTATTCTGTGCGGGGTTATAACATGGGAGAGTTGGGAGCTGCAAGAAATATACTTGAGGTATGGAGTTAATTTTGTAATTTTTATCTTATTCCTTTTGACATTTTTTCTCTGTGTATGTAAATGATTATTAGTAAAATAGGACCATCCTATGAAATTATATTTTCAACTACAAGAACTAAACCAGAAGTTTGCTCTGCTGTGCTTATCTTTTGGAAATTGTAGTTACAAACTTCAGACAACTCCTTGAGGTTTGTATTTGGTAGTATAAAGTGAGCATGCTAAAAATGTTAACAGGTTTCAGGAGTATTAGTTATCATAGTTTGGAATTATTACAAAATGCACTGTTGAAGTTTCACCATATTACAAAAACACCAGCAAACTTTCAAAATCACAAAAGTATCCCTGAGGTTTTGATTGAATGTGAACTGTAATGTTATGGGGCTGACTGGTAATACTTTTATAAACTTGAAACGCTTGCAAGACTGAAAAATCTATGAGGCATTATTTATTTGTAAATTTGAGAATAAGCTTGGGTTCTCTATAATTATGTCAAAGTTTAAGGGCACTTGTGATTAGATAGTGTAATAATCCAATAGTCAGCTCTGCTGTTTTTTTACCAGGGTCAAAACTCAAATGCATCATTTTTCTCAATCAGAAAAAATTGTATATTTCATCTCGATTTGGTATGGTTAACATTGTGTACAAACTTTATGCATTGTTATATATAACCGTGTATATAGGTGGCTGCTGAGCTTCGGATACCCGTGAAGGGCACCCACGCGTATGTGTTTGCCGAGCATGGGAATGACTTGGGGAGTTCAAAGGACGTCAAGGGAAACCCGACGAAGGTCTACAGGAGGATGGGCTACGGTTCGTCTTATGGTGTGGGAGTCAAGTTAGGGTTAGTGAGGGCAGAATATGCTGTTGATCACAACACTGGGACTGGCACGATTTTCTTCCGGTTTGGGGAGAGATTCTAAGATAAATTATTTCGTGTCTACATAATAAATACGCGATCGAGGGCTGCTGATTAGGATTTTAAAGATTTTTGAGTTGAAGTTGTTACTGTAAGTTTTCTTCGTCTTTCATATTTTTTCTTGTTTCTTTTATTATTTTGAAGTGTGATCAGTTTTAGATTGTTGTAACTCGGTTTTGTTTGCCTGGGTTCTTGGTTCTTTTTCTATATGTGTGTTGCGGCATTAAGTTTAAATTTTAATGGGAAAGACTATTGGGACCTTTTTTTTAATTTCTCAAATCGAGTGTTGTCGCAAAACGTGCATGGTCGTTGATTTTGTCTCGGTTCTAAATGTAACAAGGAAAAAAGAAAAACAAGGCGACGGATTAATGTTATTATTTTTTTCGAAACGATAGACTTCAATAAAGCAAATACATACCACCGACTAGCTATAGCCGAATGATGTTGTACAACTGAACTCTAAAATAAAAAGTGATGCTCAGTTAACCCATGTAACATATTAGAAAACTTCATGGATTGTAGCCAAATTAGATGCCATTCTTTAAGCTCAATTTACAAACTTCTCTTGCACATCATATACCTGAGTTGCCCAGCCTCCCACAATTATATAAAGCAGAGACTATCAATGGCTCACTAGAAACATGACATAAAAATAGCCAAAATTAAAATAACTATTGTTAGGAACAAATAACAACTACACAAACACTTGTGTAACTACAAAAGCAGTGAATACAAGATTGATAATTGCAAAACCAAAATGAAGTACAGTGAAAATAGCCAGACTACTTAACAGTGGCATCCTCTTCCATTGGCTTGCTGCAAACAACAGACAAACACCACCAAAAAACAGTAAAATTTCAAAACCCCGAAATAAATTGACAACTAGTGAAATCCAATTTCAAATAATCACGCAAAACAAAAACATATAAAATCTAGTCATCATAATATTGAGTACCCTATCGGCTCACGTAAGGGTGTGCAAAATTTGACTAAAACCGTCCGAACTGAAAGATTTGGTTCGGTTTTCATCCGACTCGGTCGGTTTCGGTTTCGGACATCAAATGTAATGTCCGAAATAACCCTAATTTCTAAACATACCTCCAGTCCACCACTTACCAAAATCGCCCGTCTTCACTCTTCACTGCACTACTACACACAGACTTTCAAATCGCCGTCGGTTTCTCCCCTCCTCAAAATCGCCCGTCGGTCTCCCTACCCCGAATCGTCCCGTCGGTCTTCCTTCTCCAAATCCTCCGCCGTCCACAATCTACCACCGTCGCTCCTCCTCTGCCCTAAATCTCCCAAATCCAAATCATCTTCTCCGAAAAAAATCGTCCCCAGAAGGTGTGTCTGTGACTCCTTCTCGCCGTTCCCGGTCAAGGAACTCCTTGTCGCCGGTCGTCGAACCGTCGGTCGAGGGCACCGTCTTCGTCTCCCTCCCAAAATCTCAGTCATCTTAAATCAAGGTACAAAGTTCGGTTATTTGGGTCCAAAATCAGGGTACAAAAATCTCGATCATTCAACAGAAAATTAGGGCTATAGAGCTCCCTAAAAATGAATGAACTCAAAATGAGATCGAAAATCGGAGAAAGGAACTCATATGCTAAATGCTGATTGCCTGAGTTAATGAGCGCCGCCTCTCCCAAATCCCTCTCTCGATCCGCCAATTCCCGCCGAGTAGATCCCGCAAGATTTTTCCGGTGCTTTTGGTATTTTGGCACATACAACTTATTCTTTACTATATTAGATTTTAATTAAAAATTAAAGAAGTAAATATCAATTCTAGAAGGACTTAAGTGGAAAGACTTCTACATTTGTTGAGTCTCTTTTATGTCATATGGAAGTTTTTTGTCTCTTCTACAATTCTGCAATCACCATACCATTGGTGATTCTCTAATAAAAACCCTCCTTTGATTCCGCAGAAGAGCCACTTGCCGACGCCCACGAAGTTCGGCAATCTCGAGTCCACCCACCGGAGACACCTGACCCAGGTATTGGCTGAATCTTGGCTTTTGTTAATTTAATTAGGGTTAATTGTCTTGGATTCTTGCCCGTTGGTTTTTTATCCCACATTGTTCCCAATTTTGTACCAAACCACGACTGCTAGCTTTGTGTGTGTGTGTGTGTGTGTGAAGGTGGCCCTGCCCGCTGTACCGGCGGCTTGCGTTGGGTATTGGTCGGTTTTGCCGTTTGCTGCCATTTTCGGCAACTATAAGAATGTTGAAAAACTAGCTTTGGGATTGTCATGTTTTGAATTTAGTATGTGAGGTTTATAGCATCTATAGCTGCTTCATTATCACTTTTGCTAGAATCTGGCATGGGATTTCCAAAGACACATTTGCTATTTTATGTAGAAAAGCAGGCGCTTCGTGTTTACGATTGAAGAGACCCGAAAAGAGATGATGTGGGCACGGGGCAGAAATACGGTCACTCATTTGGAGGCCGCCACGAAATTCTCAAGATTCCGATGGCTTTTTCTATCATGCTCGTATTCCGACATATCTTGCAAGAAAACAAAGGCGCCATTACAAGTAAACAGTTTCTCTCTCAATTCACGTTCATTTCAACAGTTCGTATATATCATGTAGACTTCTAACTTCTACTTCATTTTTTATTTTCTTTTTTTTTTCATTTTGTAGTGGTACGAAGTGTTTCTGGAGATATATAATATATTCCTCTCTTTTGATTTAGGAGCGTAGGATGATTGATCGATTCAGGCTATGGGCTAAGGGTGGTGATGGAGGCAATGGTTGTACCAGCTTCCGAAGAAGCCGTCACGTTCGACGAGGCAAACCTGATGGTGGGCCTCTTTCCATTATCCCAGACTTTACATCGATCTAATGGAAATTTAAGTTTTTCGGCTATTAAGGTTGGCCTGTAGCCGGGTATAGAAAATGTTCTTTTTTTTGCCTAGTCTTTCACCTTAAAATCTGGCTTACCCCCACTTCCTCATTAAGATTCATAAGTGGTTGTTAATGGCGTTGGGGTTACCAAATTCTAACACTGCATTTTAGCTGTAACAGTGGAATTCTTTTGCTTAAATAGTGGTAACACTTGAAAAGTGGGATAGATATTTCGTTTTATTTTATTTTTTCTAATTTCATCGAAGATCGGCCATTTTTGTCTCCTACAAGTACGAAATGAATGCGAATTGTATTTATCTGATGAAATTCTATATATGCATCCTCCTTAATTTTGGTTGCTGTCAGGTGGGAACGGTGGAAGAGGTGGTGACGTGATTCTTGAATGTTCTCCGTCAGTTTGGGACTTCCGCGGTCTGCAACACCATGTTGTTAGTTTCTTTCTTTTCTCTGATTATCGCATTACATCTTACGACATTTTAGCATTTATTATTTTCGTACCACACTCCTTTTTCATTTGTGAATGTATTGCAAATGTACTGCATTCTTGTCTCAGAATGCAAAGAGAGGAGGGCATGGGGCTTCAAAAAATATGATAGGAACCCGAGGACCTGATAAGGTTGCACTTTTTAGTTCATTACTCCATTTTGTTAGGTTCTAAATTTCCTTATTAATATATTACGTCTTTCGGCTGATTTTAAGTGATCCGACAAGAACACACTCTTCTGTTAGGTTGTTTTGGTTCCTGTTGGCACTGTGATTCATCTTTTAGAAGGTGTAATCCCCTCCTCCTCGGTCGAGAAGAAACCTTCCGGAACATTGGATCCTTGGGAAATCCCTGGTTCACTTTATTCAAACTCATCGGATAATTTCCAACAATCTCCGACAGAGAGCATCTCAAAAAGGCCGAAGGCGGACAATTCTCACCAGAATTCATCTCGTTTGAGCAGAAGAACTCCAAAGGAGCCACCTTTTGCCTCACGTTCTCAAGTTTCTCCTCGATTTTCAACTTATAAACCCCAAACCGAACCCGGACCTGATTGGCAGCCACCCGAGCCACATGGGTACAGTGTGTGGGAGGATACGGATAACGAAGCAAACATTTCTGAGACGAATTTCGAAGAATTTTCTGAAGAAACCGAACAAGCACAATACGACGTGTCCGAGCTCATAAAGCCAGGCGAGCGGATAACCGTGGCCCGAGGAGGTGACGGTGGCTTGGGCAATATGCACTTCACAAAAGGCTCCAAGGCAGATGATGACGACAATGACTTGGGCCACCAATCTCCCGATAACAATGAAGCCCGAGTTGAGCCCAACATAGGTCAGCCCGGCTCCGAAGCCGTCCTTTTGTTGGAATTAAAGAGCATTGCCGATGTGGGCCTTGTGGGAATGCCCAATGCCGGAAAAAGCACCCTTCTTGGGGCCATGTCGCGGGCCAAGCCCGTGATCGGCCATTACGCTTTCACCACTCTGAGGCCCAACTTGGGAAAGATGAACTACGACGACCTGTCCATAACGGTAGCCGATATACCGGGCCTCATAAGTGGGGCCCACGAGAATCGCGGGCTCGGGCACGCTTTTTTGCGCCACATAGAGCGGACGAAAGTGCTGGCGTACGTGCTGGATTTGTCGGCCGGGTTGGATGGGAGGAAAGGTGAGCCCCCGTGGGTGCAGCTGAGGGACCTGATGATGGAGCTGGAGTTCTACAGGGAGGGGCTTTCGGCCCGGCCCGCATTGGTGGTGGCGAACAAGATCGACGAGGAGGGGGCCGAGAGGGTGTACGAGGAGCTGAGGGAGAGGGTTCGTGGGGCTGCCATTTTCCCGGTTTGTGCAGTCCTGGAGGAAGGGGTGCCAGAGCTAAGGGAGGGCCTCAGGAGGCTTGTGAATGGGGAGGAGGAGGCGTCGAGGATAGATTTAGGTAGTATTGTGGTTGATTAGGAACGTTTTGGTGATTTTGTTAGATGATGGAGAAACTACTTTTTCTTTTTTTGGATATTTTTATTTTTTAGTAACTAGGCTAGTTTTTTAGTTAACTTGGCGATATAAATAGAACGGTTTTGATCAGATATATTGATTACTGCGAGTTAAATTTGAATAAAGTTGATTGTGGCGATATGAATAGAACGGTTTTGATTTATTAGTTTTGGAGCTGTGGAGCAATTTGTTGACCAATCACGACAATGTACTTATGTACTTCTCATCCATTCAAGTGTGGAGGTGAGGTTAGTTGTTCTTGGTTCTGATATTTAATCTGGGAGGACACTGTGTAGTCTTGATTGAGTAGCTAGTTGTTGACAGTGTTGATCATTTGGTTGCCGTTATGTATGGCTGTGGTTGAGGAATTGCTTTTCTGCTGAAGACTGGTGGCTGTGTTGCTGTTCTTTGGCTTGGTTCATAGATGTTTGGTTCCTAGTGTTTGGGTCCTGTTTTGTTTTTGTTTCTTTAGTTGCTGTTAGGTTCTGTTATTGAGTAGTCTTTTCTTTCTATGTTGTTTAGTTAGCAGCTGCAACTAGGACGCAGTGGTAGCAGCTTTTCTTTCGTCGATAGTTTGGTTATGAGGTATAAAGGCCGCAGTCGTAGTAGCTTTTCTTTCGTCGATAGTTTGGTCATGAGGTATAAAGGCTCAACTCTCT